TCAGGGATCGGTACAGGTCCGTGTCCCTGGCCAAGCCGAGCCGGAATGATGCTGCTGCCATGACCTCCGAGCATCCCTCGACCTCATTGACTTCTTCCCAGTATCGGATGGCGTACTGGCGAAGAGTCTCGGATTCCCTCCTCCTGAGGGTCAGCAGTGATCCAATGTCCTTTGGGCGCTTACTCCCCGTGATGAATCGGGTTAGGAACTGCCTTGTCAATTCTTTCCAGGACCCAATACTGTTTGGGGGAAGCGCCTCGAACCACCTCATCGCGGAGTCCCCCAAGCTCATAGGGAATACCCGGCATAGAAACCGTTGGTCCGAATGATAGAGGGACATCATCTGCTTATACTGTCTGATATGGGCATCGGGATCAGATCGCCCATCATAGGTCTTGAACCGTGGCACGACGAACTTTCTTGAGACGTCCATCTCGCTGATTTCCCTCGTGAAGGGTGTTTGCATGACTTCGTCCTCGGCCTCGTCCTGGATCGTCTTACCCTTTCTTCTGGAGTCTAATCGGGCTCTGAGATCTACTTCTTCCCTTACGGGATGCCTCCTGAAGTCTCTGGGTTCGTCGGTAAGCCCCTCGTTTCCTGGGCGTCGTGTAGATTGGGTTGAGTCCTCCTCGGATTCATCTCCCTTCCTCCGTCTGGATAAACCTCGCCGGAGGTCGTCCAGGGCCAATGGCCTTGCTTTCCTGGAATGGTTGTCAAGATGGCATTCGCCGGCTTTGGGTCGCTTCGGGGCCCTGGAGCTTTCTGCTTTGTGATCCAGGTGGTTCCTTAGATCCTTTGTCTCCGCCTCATGGACGGGGAGTCCTCGGGAGAGGAATGAATCCCTCGACCCTCCGCCTGAGGCAGCAAACTCGTCGAGCCGGCTAAGGACGTTTACATTGTCCTTCTCCAGCTGACGTAATCTATCGCCAAATTTCTCTTCAATCACCTCTGCCAGCTGACGGGCCAAGGGGGCTGATCCTCCTGACCTGATACCCATACTGGTTTGAGGGGTTACCCCCCTTGACCGAGTAGAGGCACTTTTAATCGTACTGGTGCGATCCCTCCCTCCGTGATGGCAGGGAGCTTGCAACTCATGACTCCGTTGGTGGGGTCCTTTCCCTTTCTGTCTGGTGTTCACCATGGTCACTGTTCTTTTTAGAGAAAAGATTAGGAAAACTACTCGTTTCCCACAGACGGCGCCAGATTGTGCGGGCTTGATCCTGCACGATATATAAAATATTGGGAACAGATCTCTCCCCTGGTGAACTTTGAGTGAGCCGGTTGAGTGGCCAAACACGCTGCTTGAAACAGCCTACAAGGTACGGTGGCAACCTGGAACGGCAAAGGAAGATCCTGGGAAAGGAAGAACGATCCTGTACGTGTGAAAGGTATTTCCTGGAACAAAGGAGAACAAGTTAGAAGGGCGCCGGAGTGTTTTCCGGCGTATCCCCTCCGACGGTCTAGTCAGTCTTTGAATGAGAGAGAGGAAGGAGAAAACACTGAGAAGGATATATTGTAGTAGAGAGTTTGTGATTGCATACCCCCTTTGCCTTTTGGGAGGAGTATTTATACCTTAGAAGCTCATGATTGCTGTCAGTGTGGTCAGTAGGTGATCATCAGGCACAGGTAGCGTGTGTATTGATTTGATGAGGAATGTCTTCTCTAATTGACTGCTCGGGGTCCCGAGCAATCAATGCTGAGTCGTCGGGACGCCGACGGTACAATATGCTCCTTTCGGGAAGGATGCAATAAATGCTCTGTAATAGGAGCATTTATTGCCTTTCATATCCGAACCTTACCGCATTGAATGCGGTCTCGTCAACAGAAGGGTGCAATTAATTGTTTGCTTTCCAAAGCGTGTGTCAGCAACAGCATGCGGTTTGTCTGTTTTTGATGTGATATCATATGCCACGCGTCCATCACGTATTGGCTATGACTTCTGTATTCCAGCATGTTCTGACATTACTTGTGTAAGACGAGGTCATGATGAATAGTCTAGACTGGCATAGGCTGATGTCCCGTACGTCAGTAGCTTTATCTGGGAGTAGAGGAAGCGTTCAGGATGGAGTGACCCTCGGCACCGAGGAAAGGCTCACCTCGGGGACCGAGGGTGGTATGTTTCCGAGGTACACGGTGACCGAGGACACATGTTTGTTGTATAATACACCGAATGCGTGATCCTATATGAGAGGTACCTCGGGGTAAAGGACGCTCTTCGCCGATGGTGCTTACATCCGGGCAACACTGTTTTCCGAAAAACCCGAAGACACGTGTCTTCATCTTAGGACTTTTCAGAAGAGTCCCATCAGGAACCATCTCAAGGCGTCTAAAAATAAAGACCTATGTTAAATCTGCACATCAAGTAAATCTGAAAGAGACCGCAACTGTGGATGAAGAACCAGAAACATGCGTTATATGCCAAGTAAATATATACTGTTCTTCTAACTCTTTTACTTGTTCACAGTATCAGATTCGGTTTTTAAAGTTGTTTTAACCGTTTTGCTAACCAAAGATATGTGCTTGCAGGTTGAGTATGACAACAATCAGAAAATTGGTACTCTTGCATGTGGACATGAATTTCATGAAATGTGCATAAGGAAGTGGTTACATCAGAAGAATGATTGCCCCCTCTGCAGAGCTACAGCTTTGCCTTCATAGAGCTAGAAATTGTAGAGAATGGAATGGTTGGCGCGATTGATAAAAGTACTTGTTTTATTGTATTGTAGGTTTTTTTTTTATGGAGTCTAGTTTGTATATGTGATCTGGATAATGACCTGACTCAAAGTAATGTTGTGTGGTTTTTAATGAAAATTTTTCTGAGGTTTAGTTCATGAAGCGAAGGCTTGGGCCCAAGCCGTAGCGCTCATGGACAAGCCTTGTGAGGGTTCGGGGGCAACGCCCCCGAGGAAAATTTATTGGGCCCGTTATACAGCCCAGTGCGTAGGACATATAAACCCTGTTGTTTTGATGATTAGGGTTTGTTGTGGATTGTACAGCCGCTCTCTGTAATTCAACTCTCTCAATAGTGAAATCCCTGCAACTTCGTGGACGTAGGCAAATTGTCAAACCACGTAAAATCTGTGTCTTGTTCTTTCTTGTTTCTTATTGCTTTATATTCTTGATTTGTTCTTCGATTGTGTGTGTTTGTTAGTGGATTTAAATCGAGTTAAATCCCAACATGTATGAGAAAATATTACTAATTTTTGGGGACAAGGGGCAGAACGACCTCTCAATATCCTTACTGCTGCCCCAAAAGAAAAACGTCGTCTAGGCGTTCCCCCAAGTGATTGATGACATCCTTATAAATGTCCGCAAACGCGGCGTCTCCAATAACGATATTATCACTGTATGTATTCGTGTCTTTATTCTGTTGGTTTAGAAGGCTAGTAATTTAATGTCTTTGTACATATGAATGGGGCAAATGTTACTTTTTATTGCACTGTCCCAACCATGGGAAAGCTCTGTTACGCAAAAATAATTTTCAGCACCTTACAAAACATGACTTTTACCGGTAAATCTTTGTTTCGATTATTTGTTGCCATCAACTACGGATGATAAAATAAAGTAAAAAATTATAATAAGATGGCTTTGCACTTGCCTTGTTTTGATTTGGTTGTCTTAACCTTGCGTCTGCCACATTGAGCATTTTCTTCCTTTTACTTCGTTTATTTTCCTGCATAGTCCTTATCTTTGTGAAGACACCATCTCTAACATGCAATATCGATCAATCCTCTGATCCACAAGGTACATGAGGTGGAGGTTTTGACATCCCAAATGAATGTGAATGCTTGGAAGTGTGGGTCCCATTAAAAAAAGTTAATGGGATCCACTAACTATATTGAATTTCGGTTGCAAAAAATTGTGAAATATTTTTGGATACACGTCTAAAAGTCATTACAAGTTAAACAGGGGATGCCGAGGACAAGTAGTTGTTTCGATCCTGGGCTTTCCTATACAATCACTTCGCTCTAGCAGCTTTCTTTTTCCTGTTTTCAAAGGTTGTCCAATTAGCTGATATCACAGCATTAATAGCCTATTCCCAGTGGGAAACCCTGTTACATCATTTGAACCTACAGCAATACCTATTTGAAACCAGTCAGTCTTAACTTGACAAACCTGTCTCCCAAACCAAGCTCTGAATCCATTTGCTGAAAACCACTTTACATTTAGATGCATGATTTTTTGCAAAATTAATGGAAAAACTCACAATACCATCAACATGGTGCACAGAGATACCAATTTTAATCTACACCACCCCCCCAAAAAAAACCAAACACACATACACAGTTACACACACGACACAGACAAAACGGTATATAAAAATATAATTGAATCTAACCCCCCCGCCCCACCCCCCAAAAAAAAAAAAAAAAAAAAAAAAAAAACAAAA